GGGCCTCCCTCTCTAGATTCTTGCAAATGTCCAGCTGTGAACCTTCTGACTTGGAGAAACACTCAACCCCTCCTAACGCAGATGCTTCATTGAGAACACTGATGCCCAGGGGAGTCTTCTGTCTTTCTTAGCGAAGCGCTCTGCCGTGCTCGGGGTGACTTCAGGGCCTCCCTGGGAAGGGGCTGCTCCTTTTTCTCCACTAAGGAGAAAGCCTGTGCCATCGGGCAGAGCTGCGTAATTTTGTGGAAAGACATTTCCCTCCTGCTGGACTCTCAGGGACTATTTATGGGTCTGAAAGGACAGGTGGACTGTAAAATAATCTAAGGCAGATTGTGGCCATGGGCACAAATGAGGACGTTCCCTTCAGCAGCCCCTGCCTTTGTGTTCATGTGGCTAGAAGCTCTTGGGAGCCCGCAGAGTCCCTTCTGCATGGTATCTTGGACGGAGTCTGCATTCTGAGAAATGGTGCTCTGCTTTCCTGACCCTTGACCCCAGCTCTTAGAGGTCCCCTGCCCTCTGACTGAACACCATTGTGGAGCATCGTCTTGCCGTGCTGTGACCTGGGAGGTGGCCCTGCCAGGTGGGCAGCTGGTTTCTTCACTGATGTATCTGTAGCCTCACAGCTGGTGTGTGGCCCAGCCCTGCCACATGTGCCCATCTTAGGAGTGTCTGTGAGGACATGGAAGGGAGCACACCTCCAGGAGGCAGGGACTCTGTAACCCAGGACAGAGCAGCTCGAAAGGCCAAGCCCTGGGGCATCTTTCTCCACCAGAGCTCAGGGGCTCCAGAACTCTCAAGTGTGGGGTGACAAAATTTTTGCAGGGCTACGTGAGTCCAATCAGACATGCCAGGCCCAGGGGCAGTGAAGGGACAATTGTGACTTTCAAGGTTTTAGCTTTACATACTGTTTAGAACCTAAACTCTGGGCATGATGGAACTCCACGACATCCCTTTTTAATGTAAATTAGTGATTTCTGCTAGTGGACTTCTGTCTCGTGAATCCCTTTGGAACAGACTCTGATGTGGCCAGACCCACCCACTCAGACAACAGTGGGCTTCCTCTTTCAGGATGCCTCAGGAGCACTCAGAGGGAACAGAATTCTACCCACAGTCAAGAGCTTTGATTTCACTGTGCCGTCCAGCACTGTGCTCCGTCTGACACAAAGGACATTTAAGGTGACGTACTCTTGACACTGGGTTTTTAATTTAGAAACTGCAAAGTCTGAGGTACTAATCGATACCTGCAGCTGGCAGAGAACTCAGGTTACAAATGAGCATCCTGGGAAGAAAATGCAAGCTGCGTCGTGTGGCCTTAAAGGCCAAATGATAGCCCTGTGGAAACTCTTCTCGGCATTAAAAGGTATTCTGTGATTAATGCAAACCAGGGTTCCTGCACCTACTGCGGGAATCTCACTCATTTATCTCCATGGCTGCTACACTGACAGCTACCCACGAAGTCCACACCCTGCCCCTCTTTCCCAGTTATAGATCCCTAATTCCCAGCAGAACCCAAGACTCCCTGCTGCAAGGTGGGGCCAGACAATTAAATGAAAGTGGAAACTGTCCCAAAAGGGAGGAGAGGTGTTTGGGTCCCTGCTTCCCATCTTCCTGCCTGGAATTCAGGCATCATGATGGAGCTTAGACAGCCACGTTAAACCATGAGATAGGGATGGCCACCTATTGAGGATGCAGGAAGAAGAGAATAGAATCAGGGTGGGTCTCTAATCCCAGGAAGACCACACCCACTCAGTGAATCTCTCTAGTCAAGAGAAGATGCCCTTGTCTCTTGCTAAGTCTCTGCCTATTTTGTAATGTCCTGTCTGCCATGACCAACTACAATCCTACCTGAGCCCTTCCACTCCCTACCAAGGCTGAGTTGGTCCTTATGATGGATACAGATGCTTTCAATGTTAAAACACAACACAGCATAAGTGTTCTGGAAACTAAAATCACGAATGTTGCCGAGGACACTGGATTTGCTGACCCTAACACAGTGGAGGATGAAGGCTACTAGCACTGGAACAGCAGGCCTGCAAGGCTCGGGCAGCGTGAGGCCGGGTGGAGTGAAGGAGGTGAGCCGCTGGGCTGAGAGAATGCGGGGCAGGACACCAGACACCAAAGGAGAGCAAGGTTCGGGGACACCACAGGCCCCCGTGTGTCGCTCCTTTCTTCTTGGCTGGGCCACGGGAAATCCTTTACATCCGGTTAAACATGGACAGATTTCACCTACTTTATTAATCTGGCCAGTCTGGGCTTTTCTTAGAACATCCCTGTTTTGCATGAAGTTCTGCTTCCTAGTTACATGGATAGCATGATCCTGCAGTTGCCACAGGGACTGCACACTGGACCTCTGGGGAGCCTCAGCCTGGCCTGCCCTGGGAACCTGAGGTGCTTGGTCCAGGGGGCTGCTCACCACCCAGATTCCATGAAGCCAAGGATGGGCACTGCTCTTTGAGTGGGCCTTCTGGTAAGGGCTAGTGTTGAGCGGGAATGTCCTCCTGTGTGGTCCTCCCACATCAGCCCCCTGACACTCTAAAAGGATATCAGGATCAAAGAGGTGAAGTGAGGAAAACCAGGAAGGAGGGAGGGGGGCCCTGGAAACCCGGGTGAGAGCCAGCTCGCCACACAGGTCCTGATTTGTCTGGATGCAGTAGGGTCAGGTGGGCGCCTAACCAGAGATGCTTGGTCATGGGGCCACCCCCTCATGAATTGGCTAATGCCCCCATTGAGGGAGTGGGGTCATTATCAGAAGTAAGCCCAAAAAAGGCCCAGTTCAGCTCCCTCTCCCCCACCCTCCCTGCTGTGCCCTTCCACCACAATTGACAGTGGCAGCTCCTTGGACTTGCAGCCTTCAGACCTGGGAGCCAATAGGATTCTATGTATTACACATTAGACAGCCCAGGGCCTAAGGGCAAAGCAAGATGCTGTCCCTGCCTTGTAGGGAGCTGCAGATACATGGCAGGGGAGGCAGGTTTAGCCATCAAGAACCTTCCATGGGAAAAGGTTACATAGCTGTGCTAGTATTACTACAGAACCCAACACAGAGGTATGACCACTTGAAGCCAAAATACCTGCTGAGAATTCAGATGTTCTCAAAATTGTACCCAAACTGTACAAGGGAGAGTGGTCTTCCACATACCTTGGACCGGGACCTCCAAAACTGTGACTGAAATAAACATTTTTCTTTTTATAAAAAGTTTTCCTCTCGGCACTGATTACAGTGGAGGAAGGCTGATGGACACGCAGTGGTGCAAACACCTGGCTGCATTTCAAGCTCCTCTATAGATGTCGGGGTGTCAGTCCTTCCTGTTAGGGTGAGGATTGGTGGGGTGGGGGGACCTGTTCCTGCCAAAGGTGCTCACAGGAAGAATAAACGGTGGCTGTTTTTGTACTGCAGATGGTGACACACTTTATTAACTTAAAACCTGTCCCTCCTCACCATGCACTGGGCAAGACGTAGTTCCGTGGTGATGGCTGGTGGAGGCCAGGCCCCCTCCAGGTCACTCAGGGAGGGGACAGTTGCGCTTTGAGACCAACAGCACTGGGTAAATAGCAGCAGTGTGGGTGGTGGCTGAGTGACCTGCCCCAACCATGCCTTCCCCTAGGGTGGCACTGCTCCCTCCAGACTCAGGGCTCAGGCCTGGTCTCCCTCCCTCTCCCTGTGCCCAGGCGGGGAAGCGTGTCCTGGCACCCATGTGGGCCCAGGGGAAACAGGTGATGCTTGGCCAGCTGCTGATGCAGAGCCCAAGGAGCAAGAGCCCTGTTCTCTCCGCCCACCGCCTCCCTGGAGAGCGGCTCTTCCATGACCCAGGTGCAGGGTGAAAGGCCAAATGGCACTGTGAGGAATCAGAGTGGGCTGGTGCCCACCCCAGGACATTGGAATGGCACTGACTGGAGGCTGCTCCTTCTGAAAACGAGATGCTGGCTCTTCTGTCCTCAAGAACACGGTGGTGAGCAGCAAGACGTCCGGGATGTGCCCTGGAACTTGGGGAAGTGCAGTGTTGGTCCCTCCCCTCTCTGCCTCTGTCCAGAGCCCAGGCAGTCTCCTCACCAGCGCTTTCCAGGAGGGCACCCCAGCCACTATCCTCTGTCCTCTTCTCCTCACGCTGCCAGCTTCTGACTCTTGAGGGGCAACAGGTCAGTTCACCCCCAGTTGATGGTAAGGGACGTCCACTTGGTGGCCATGATGTCAGTGCTCAGCGGACGCCTTCCCAGGCTGGTCTTCCCAGCAGCTGAAGGTCAGTGAAGACTATTTCAAGAGAGGCTATGCCAACCCAGGGAGGCCACCATTACGATGACCACTGGACTGGTCCTGCTGTGCACTTGTGCTGTCCTACAGTCCTGGTCCTGCCGTGGGCTGGAGGTTCCTGACCCCATCTGACACTCAGCCTCAGCTCCCTGATGCTGGGAGGCAAAGAAGGGCCCCAGCTGGACCCAGGGACAGAGGCCTCCAATTCAGGGCCACCCAAATATTTCCCAGGCTATGTGTGGGCAGCAGCAGAGGTGGGCAGGGCCTGGAGGGCAGCCGGGCCTCTTCTAGCAACACAGTCTGCCTTCCCCTGCACCATTTCTGAAGGGTGGAAAGTTCAGGCTATGAGCTCTGGCCGCGCTCTCCAGGGATCACCCGTGGGTGGCTGCGGCCTGGCCCCATGGGCCTGTGAGGGCCGGGATGAGTACAGGTCACTCAGAGGAGGGGCTGGGGTCTGTACTGTGAGCACTTCAGAGGAAGCCTCTGCCATCCACGAGAAAGTCCCAAAGCTGCTGATCAAATTCTCTTGACAAGTTTCTGAAGCCCCCGCCTGGCCACTGAGGTAGTCACTATGCACCTCCAGTGGCTGACCCAGGTGGACGCACCTGGGTGTGGGGTCACTGGGGACCCTGGAAGTCCATGAGAGGGCCAATGGGCCCTGGCCTGGCCTACTGGGTGCTTGCCAGAGGCACGGACTGAGGTGTGGACAAAGGTGTGTGGCAGGCATGGCGGGCACGGCGGGCGTGGGCCCTCAGCCCTCCAGGGGCCCCTGCAGTTTCCCCACCAGGTGCTGGTAGGTCTCCCTCTCCGCCTGCCAGGAGTGGTGCCTCTGCACGTGCGCCCGCCCCTGGGCCACGATCTCTCTCTCCAGCGCAGGATCACGGATGAGTCTCTTCGCCAGCTGCACAAATTCCTGCAGAAAAGGAAGGGGGAAGAAGGGAGGGAGCCATGGTGAGGGGGTTTCATGAAGGTGCCCACGCTCTTTCGCTCCAGTTCTCCCTCCCGCCTGCCACCCCGCCCTGCAGAAAATGACCTTCAGGAAGGACAGGAGTTAACGCCAAGCATTTGGATTAAGGGAAAAAAATGTGTGCTGGGCACAGAGGCACACATCTGTAATCCCAGTGACTGGGAGGCTGAGGCAGGAGGATTGCAAGTTCAAAGCCAGCCTCAGCAACTTAGTGAGGCCCTGAACAACTCAGTGAGACCCCGTCTGAAAATAAAACATCAAAAGAGCTGGGCATGTGGCTCAGTGGTTAAGCACCAGCACCCCTGGGTTCAATCCCTAGTCCCCCCCCAAAAAGGAAGAAATGTGTAGACACCTATCTGTATAAAATGCCTGCACACATGCACTTGCATACATATTACACACATGTGTGCAACATGTGCAGGGACACACGTCTACATAACACCTATGCACCCACCTGCACACACACACGCATGCACACATCCGTGCCAAGGTGAGAGTCCCGGGAAATGCTGGAGCATGGGCTATCCTTCATCCCTTTCTTCCCAAACCACAGAAACCTGCTGCTCTCCCTGAGGTCTCAGGAGCCGTGATGCCCACCTGAGCTCAGCCTGCCATACAAATGTGGCCTTCCCAGACTCCGAGCTGCACACACTGGACACAGAACCTCCAGGCTGCTGCCCTGCTTGTGTCCCAGGCCCGGGGGGCTTCCCTGGGTTCAGACAGTGTCTTCCCACCAAGGGTCAGTGGCGCCTGGTGCAAGGGAGCTCTAAGGTTCAAGGCCAGATCTGGGTTCAAATTCTGCACAGCTTCTCCCTGCTGTGTGGCTTGGGCATGCTGGTTCACCTCTCTGAGTCCCACACTGTGGCTCATCTGTGAAGAGACACAGGACACAGGATGGGCCACACCGCCTGCATGAGGAAGGCAGGGAGAGGCAGAACCCAGGGGATCCTGCGGGGCCAGGTCTGCTTTGGTTTAAGCCACACGTATGCTCAGGCTTGTCACTCATGCAGCTCACAGGCCTGTGTGGGGACGGGAGGGCTCCTGTGGCCCAACCTTCCTATCAAAACCCTCAGGACTTGCAGTCAGGGTTACTCTGGTGTTAAAGAGGATCCCCGCAGAGGAGGGGAAGGCTTGTTATTTATTACACTTGCATGTAAATCACCAGCACAGCTCTCGAGCCAGGAGACACCACATGCCACATGCCATATGCCACCTCCACATCTCAGTACCCACCTACAGATGAGGGGACAGCAGAGCCTCCGGGCAGGGCTCTAAGAAGACTAAAGGAGTCACTCTCCTCACCCCTCTGAGGCCACAGTGACTGAGATGAGCCTTCAATGCCTTGCTTCTAAAATAAGTGTCCACGTAGTCTCAAAATTATTGTTACTTAAACGTCGAAGGCCTCTGATAGCTAGCAAATAAACAGCAGTATAGACGAGAGCGGAATCATATTCTTGTGTATGATGTCGACGCTTTATGGTAAATTGGTATTCTCCTCACAATAAAACACAACGGAGTCCTTCCTGCCCAGTGGTCTGAGGCAGTGGACGGGGCTTTTGCCATGGCTGGAACACCACTTACGATGCAGCTCGTAGCTTTGATTTATCTTGGGCTGAAACCCACCCCCTGCTTATCATGGCTATAGAATGTGAGGCCACTTTACAACAGCATCCGAACAACAGTTTCCAGGGTAAGGTTGCAATAATTTTTTTTTTTTTTTTTTTTTTTTAGCAAGCAAGCCTGGAAAGACGACTTTACCAGAGCAGGAGAGATCCTGGATTGGCCTCATAAAGCCCTGGAGGAGGAGGGAAGGCAGGGGAGAGGTCGGGGACAGGGGAGGCCAGCTGAGCGTGGGTGGCCCTGCCTACTCCAGGATGGGTTAACCATTCCAAAGGTGTCACCCTGACAGCAGGAGGCACCTCCAGACCCAACCGGTGGACAGTGAGAGACTGGACTCAGACTGTCCCTTGTGTCCACTGAGGGTCTGCTTCTCCTCCCCATGAAGACAGGTGGGCGGGGGACCTCTGCCCACCCGCAGTGCCACCCACAGTGCCACCCACAGTGCCACCCACAGTGCCAGGAGCAATGCATCCAGCTCCAAGAAAGGCTTTGGGAAAACATCCAGCCTCCACCCGAACCCTCGGGGTTCCCTGGGGAGCACCATGAGGGTGAGCACCCCATGGACAGATACTGGCCACGGCCAACACCAAAGACCAAGGAAGGCGTTGGGGTGCCATCCTAGACCATCCAGCCCCAGGCATCTGCTCAGGACTGTCCCTGGGCGAGTGGCCCAGGCCAGACCAGCCAAGAGCCACCCATGGAGTCCAGCCCAGGTGGCTCATCATGTGGCTATGAGATGATGAGGTGTGGCGGACCTAAGTCACCAGGCTGTGCAATTCTTAGTTACACAAGAATCAATCAGCCCTCCTTCCTCTTAGAGGAAAATAACCAAGGTTCTGTTAGATGCTGCCTCTGTGATGTGGTCTGGTGAGAAGCCCTGACCCCAACTCCCAACTGTGCTGTTGTGGTCTACACGACACAGGTGACTCCAAACGACCCACCCCGTGACTGGAACATGGTAGGGCCTAAGACTTGCTTCCAACCAAGAGATGCTGGCCAAGGTCGGGGCTGAGCAGGAAGGGCCCTGCCTCCGCCAGCTGGGGAGGGGCTTCCTGAGCCCTTCTCAGAGCTGAGGGCAGTCCCCACCCAGCCGCCAGCAAGGGACTGGCCAACTCAGCCCTGCAATCAGAAACCAAATCCACCTCAGCCAGGGGCTCAAGCTGGAGGCAGCCTGGGAATGGCTTTGTGAGATAAGACGTCCTGAGCAGCGAGCCCAGGCCCGCCCCAGGAGCTGAGAGAGCAGAGTAGGCAGCCGCAGCCATCAGCCTACAGTGATCCTGTCCAGTCTGCCCAGGGCAGACACAGCGTATTCAGGCACTGAGCTAAGCGGTCCCCACCTGCCTCTGGGAAATGCTGCCTGGTTTTAAGAAGACCCTGGGGACACTGTGCCCCTTACCTCTGGTGCGTTCAGGCTGCCCCGATTGGCCAGTCTCCCCACTGGAGGAGGAGGCCGCACTGTGAAGGCCAGGCTGGGACACTCAGAGACAGACTCGGGTGACACGAGACATCAGGCTGGCTGCCCATCTGGGCTCTAATGCAGAATGCCTCATGGAATAGACCAAGGCACTTCACAGGAGCAGAAAACCTGCATAGAGAGGTCAACTCCTGTGAGTCACCAAAGCCCCAGCGTGGAGCTCGCCCCAGAGCCGATTCACTGACTGACAGGTGCTTACTGAGACCAGAGGCTGTATAATGACCACGCCTGAAATTCACTTATAAAAATCGGCTATAAGCAGCCAAAGTGCACAAACTGGAACAATTACAATCAAAACTGAACGTGGAAATTCTAGCTCTGAAGAGAGAAAGCTGTGGACACTGTTCCAGATCAGCACTGGGAACCCAACTGCCCCCAAGAACACAGGTAAAGAGGGCCATGCCAACCCACCTGCTGAGTGGACATGGGCCTGGCTTCTGGCCGGTTACCCTGGCTTTTTGCCAAGAAAAGTCTAAATTCTGGATATTTATGAAAAGTACCCCATGTCAAATCCAGCAAGTAATTCAAATTAAAAGACACACCAGACCCAATAAAACCCAAGTGTGGACCACACCAAGCCCTGGTGTGCAAACCCTGGCTCAGGTAACACAAGTGCCAGGTTGGAAACCATGCAGAAATAACCACCCAATTAGGACCTGACCTTCCTGAGCAGTCCTCGGCTGCTAGTGGGTAAATTCCTCATCAAACCCTGTCCACTGCCCCGTCCCCCAGCCTTCACCAGGATCCAGGGAGGACAAACAGGACTGGTTTCACACAGAGTAATCAGAGGCTTAGTCAGTGGCCTTGGTTCCTAAGCTCTGTGCCCCCCCCCAACCCAGCCCCCATGTTCTGACTGGGCAGGTAGGGGGGTCCTGAACACTTGTGCTGAGAGCCACCCCCAGTGATCCTGAGCAAGTCACCCAGGCAGCAGATGACCTGTCTTATTTCCCAAAAATTATTTGGCCATAAAAATAGCTTTGTTTTTGGAAACTGCATGTGATGAGACTCCAAGAATTGGCTCTCTAGGAGAGGGACATGTTTTTGCCTGAACCACTTTTCCTGTACCTAACACCATCCTCTTGGTCACGTTTATGGCACTGACCAAATGACCACCATTAACAGCAACCAGGAGTGGAGAGAACACATCTGATTCCCAACTGTCAGAGTGCCTGGGCCGTTCCCACAAGGACTCCATGTGGCCATCCCCTGGATGATTCAGCATAAGCCTCCCAGTCTTCTCTCAGGGGGCAGCAGTAATGGGCAGGTTGGGGACAGCTGATGTTTGGTGACCCCCATATCATGGTTACATCAAAACAGCTGCTAGGGTCCTTGTAGGTGGCTGAGTCGGAGAAGCCAGCCCGCCCCTGCATGCACTGTCCCTCTCGCCCCAACTGCAGGGTGGAGTCTGAGAAGTGGGAGGCTCTGGACCCACCGGGACGTCCCCGTGACTCTCCCACTGCGGACCCCATGCCTGACCACTGGGGAGGCTGCAGTGGGCCCTGCCTGCTCACACTGAGCCGGAAACTTCCGGGCTCAGGCCCTTCATGGGACAATGCTGAGCTTGTATCCGACAGGGCATCACACAGCCCTGGTGCCTGGATGGGGCAGTAGCAGGAGTGATGGATGTGCAGGATCCTGGCTGCTGAGAGGAGGCGAGGAGGCAGGAAAGGAGCCCTGGGGAGAGGACTAGTCTGCTTCACTCACTGTCTACCTCAGTGTAGCCAAGCTTCTTAGCACTTCTCTAACCGAGAGCACAGGGCTTGGGTGGGGGGAGTGTCCAGCCAGAACCTAGTAACGACAACCAGCCACTGCAGGGCCCTGCACCTGTGTGACCATGTGCTGGAGGCAGCTG